CCTGCCCCTCCTCATAGTTCATCTCCCCCCAGAGCCCCTCCCCAGTCCTCTCTCCCCCACCCCCAATATCCTCTCTCCCCTTTTGCTTGACTTTTAGCTCCTTTGCAGCCAGTGCAAGGAAGCACGTTAAAGAGAGTTGTTCGGGCACCAAGACTCACAGGTTTGTGGTGGCATCAGCTTTTGTGGGCAGGAGCCCCGTGGGCAGAGTGGCACCACACATTTGTTGCAGCCCGGTTCTGTGTGTTTACTCCACAGTAATCTCTCTTCAGTTTCATGAGCACTTGCTCCCAAATAAAGGTGCCTCTTATTGCACCACTAAATGCAGGAGGACTTGCTTTGGGGTAAACATGGTTTGCACCGAGGATCTTTTCAGGGGCCTCCGGACTCTTGGATGGGATTGTGGCATCAGCTTTTGTTGGCTCGGAAGCATGAGGAGGGCTCGAATCCACAGGAACTTTGGCCACAGTAAATCTGTTTGTTTCAGAGAGGCCAGAAGATTACTTTTTTGGCTTTATTGTAATAAATCAACGCAGTCACCACTGTGGGATTTGCTTTTAATCTGACAGTGCGGTCCTATGCAGAGTTACTCCAGTCTAAAAACACTGATCTAAATGGGTTGACTCGAGTACAGTAACTCTGCATCAGATGGTATTGTAAGCATTCCCCCACATACCCTCCCACCCAACCTTTCCATGCAATTGGTCCTCAAATCTTCAGCATTTCTACCACCCCTTAAATTCCAACCTGTGTGGTGTACTTCTGCTTTTCTCCCTGTTTGTCCCCAGTTTCTCCTATTTACTACTTGTTTCCTTGCACTTCTTCTAGTTTTAACTTGCTGCCTCCAGGCTACACAGGTCTTACCCAGAACTCCAGAACTTTTGAAGTCAGCTTGTCTGGTAAAGATTTGGCTAAAATGTCAGCATAAGAGTGGGTTAGTACATTTAGGTGTACTTTGGGGAAAATGAGTGTCCCTTCTTGTCTCTCAGAGAGAGTCTGTTAACTTTCACTAGTCTTTTACAGAACGGTTAACGCCTGTTTTGGTTATTAAATGCCTTAACCCAAGTTGTACATATTGTGTTCAGCAAACGTTTGCGTGTAATTACGTGCCATTTACCAGGGCTCTTTATGCTGAAAATACATCTTTGTGTTGTTTTTGTACTTTTCACATGTTGTTTTGGTTGTGAAGGCATCTTTTCTAGACGTATTGTCTCTGCACAGGGATGTACAATAAATGAAACAAAGTCCGCTCCCCCATGACTGGCTTTCCTTAGTCCACCTCTAAACTCTCCCTCCTCTGTCACTTTCAGAGGAGCTGGACCCATTCATCTGCACCCCCAACTCCTTTACCTATTTATCCATTCCTAGGGTTGGGATGGCCTTCGTTCCCCACCCCTCACTTTCTTCAGTCCCTTCCAAGGTCTTTGGTGGGGGCTTCCCTGCACCAGGTATAACTGATAACCTCAACAGTGTGTCCACCTGCCCCCCCCCCCCGTACTTATGATAGTGGAAAAATTGCCAACTGATCATTTGAATGTATATTTCCAAATTCTTATGCAGGTGATTAAGAGGTGATTTTTTTTTTACAACCTTCATACATTTTTCATATCTTTTTTCCTGATGGTAGTTATGAGGAAGGCCAAGGAGAGCACTGAAATCCCGACAGCTTAAGATCCTGTTCAGCTGCTTGCAGCCTCTCAAGGCCACGAGAAGTTTACATATCACAGCTTGACGTGGCAAACTGGCAAGGGCTTGTGATGTGCATTGAGGCAACAAATGTGGCTTGTGCCTGTCGAGGGTCTGAGGTTGTCTGCTCCCCTCCTTAGGTCCAAGGCGGGTTGTAGGGGTCCATCCTTTGCATCTTACCATGGATGTCACTGGGTGACATGGGGGGAGGATACTTGGGGGTGGGGGGTCAATAGCATGAGTCACCCCCACGTGAGTCACCCCCATCCTTTGACTTATGTGCAAGCAGTGCATGTATTTACTTGTATTGCAACCCTCCCACATCTTGCTAGAGGACCTTACTTTTTAAGAGTATCCCCTGTTTTGTTCAACCCCCTCATAACGTTTGGGTCCTTTTTTTGTACCATGATTTAAAAAAAAAATCAGAACCCCTCCTTTCTGATACTTCTGCGCTCTCCAAAATGAAGATCTGTGTAACTTCCCCCTTACCTTTCCTCTCCCTTATACATTCCTGATCCCAGATCCAATCCTCTATTGTTTATTGAAGCTTATAGCTGTTAAAGGGACCCCTGCCAACTTAACTGTCAGATTTTTATCTTATACTTTTCTCCAAGGAGCTTGGGGTGGCATACATCGTTCACCCCTCTTATCCTCACAACAGCTCCATGAAGAAAGTAATACTGGGTTGGATTCAGCCATCTTTTCCTCTCAGTCTTGCCCAATTCCCCTCTTAACCACGGCTTTTGTCCTCCATGGCTTTTATCCATGTAGGCCCCATGATCCGAAGCCTAGCTCTTTTTTTGGTGGTCAGAAGGGACTCCATTTTACATCTGGCAGAAAATCTGGTTGGATCTCCGGGTTGCCTAGTGAGATTTAAGGCTGAGTGGAGATTTGAACCTGGGTCTCTCTGGTCTGAGTGAAGAATTTCTAACCACTGTCTTACACTGGCTCTCCACAACCTCCTTCCACCACACTGTTGAGTCCCCTTGGTATATATACACCAAGTGGCTCAAATCACACGTTCCGTACTTGCCTTATGCATCCATGTATTCTTCACTGTTTGCTACTGGAGCGACCTATTATGTTTTGCCCTATAGTCTGTTAGCTAACTCTGCCTCAAAGCCCTATGTGGCCAGCGGGCAGCATATCTACAGGATTGTCTCTCCCCGTATGTGCCTCTAGAGCCTTGCACTCTGCAGACCAACATCTCCTGGTAGTTCCCGGCCTGAAGGATGTCCACTTAGCCTCAACCAGGGCCAGGGCCTTATCTGCCATGGCCCTGGCCTGGTGGAACATGCTCACACTGCAGGATTTATTACAGTTCCGCAGGGCCTGCAAAATGGAGCTGTTCCGCCAGGCCTTCAGTTGAGGTGGCGGACATCCAATCCATTCCGGCCTCTCCTGTACAAAGTCTTTGTCACTGTGTCTTGTCCGAACTGACCCTGCTAGAAGACATTTGAATTCTTCGTTGCTGTTACCTGTTCCGTTTTAAACTTGTCTTAGTTTTTATGTTAAATGCTTTTATGGTTGTTAACATGTAGATTTTTACCCGCCCTGAGCCCGCTTGCAGGATAGTGCGGGATATAAATAAAATAAATAAATAAATAAATGCATCTCTTAACTGGCAACAGGGTCTTTTGGAGTCTGGGGTAGCCTGCATAGAGTATATGCTTAAACTTTAAGCTTATGTATAGCCCATGGGATGTAGTGGTTAGAATATCAGACCAGTCTGGTTTGAATTCCTACTCTGTGGAAGACCGCTGGGTGACCTTGAGCCAGTCACTTTCTCTCAGTCTAACCTACCTCACAGGGTGGTGGTTTTGAGGATAGAATGGAGGAGAGGAGAATGCATTTGGAACTCGGGATTCCTATTTGGGAGAAAATCGAAGTACAAAAGATTTTCTTTTGCTGTGTTAATTGACTGCCTTCTATCCTGGGCTATCTTTTGTGTTTCAAGCAGTGCAATGTGATATAAAATTGACAGGATCCAGCAAGATCTTGGGTTGTGTGTGTCCCACACAACCGTCTCTTTTCCCCTACCTCATGAGTTATGTGTTCAAAAGTGGTTATAAATGATTTGTGCTCTAGGTAGGAACATTCTGAGATGTGCTGTGTAAATTCCTTGGGATGCCCAGTCCTTCTACACCAAGGTTTTGTAATCCAGTTCTTGCATTGTTGATGCACTGCCTTACACTGTTTTTTATTGCGTTGTTTTATAATTCTGTAATCCATCTTCATTCTTGGTGAGAAAAGTGGACTATATAAATACATCTTGAGAAACTGGTTTACCCTCTTATCCAGCCTACCTTCCTACTCATACCTGGCTGATTTTTTTTGTTTTCAACTTAGTTTGTGCTATTTAGCTTATAGACATACACCCACTCTGCCTCTCTTGGCATTGGTTATTAGCAAGACACGGCCTCTATTTTTAGTCTTGGCTCATGATTTTTGGATGTGTAAAAGGATCTTCTTGGAGGTGAAACTGGCCATCTGATTTCACAACTGCAGTACCTAAAATACAACCATATTGATGTTTAGAACTCCTGCATCCAGTTCAGCTTTCCCTGATTCTGAGCAACTTTATCAACCCATCTACAGCTCCTCAGACGTGTATCTGGATAAAAATTTACACTTGAGTAGAGTATCCTAGGAAGTCTACTGGGAAGTATCTGCTCCCAACAGTCAAAGAGAAATTGTATCACAAGTAATCCATGTCCCATTTATGGTATCTCCATGGGCTCCTCTAATAGACACCAAATGCTCTGTTCAGATGTGCTGCAGGAAAAGTCTCAGTTTTATTACTAGACCTAGAAGATCAAATTGCTGTGCTAATTTAGAGGCGGCAGTGACACCTACAGAAGAGGAAGTCTAAACTGAGCCAGTGATAAAACCGTCAAGGCTTGTGTCCATCAGCCAGTTGGCTACCTGAGACTATGTTCTGCCTCCTCACATTTATGGGAAGGGAATAGCCAGAGTAAAAATGGATAAG